GTGGCACTTTTCCAGCTGAGGGATGTGAAAGCATTTGATCAAGTTCTCCAGAATGACAGCAGCCCCCCACTGCAGGCCATGTTCAGAGTAAGTGGAGAACAAACCTGAATCCATTTCAAACTGCAAGGGAAATTTCAGGAAGCAAATGAACTGAACTGAACAGCAGCACAGCCGGGACACCTGTGCAAACACTCTGACTCTTACGAAAAGTGAGCTGGGTTCTTTAAGAAGCACAAGTGCTAAAGGCCTTGGTTTTGTCTCAACTACGAGAACACCTCCAGCAGCTAGCTAACTCGGAACGAAGAAAGTATCCAGTCTTCTTACTAGCAGCAACACAACTTGTTTATTCCGTTTCAGAGCATGTATCCCGTTCTACACGTCCTACCCAGCCGCAGTACGGAACTTCTCGCAGCCCTGCCCCAGAGAATTCACTTCCTGATGAGGTTTATTTTAGCTAGTTAATTCCTTTTTGGAACCACCTATTGCTACATCCTGGGTTTGGTAAATTGCCCACCTCTCCCTGCCCCCCCGAAGGAGTGAGAAGGGAAGAGTTTTGTGTTGTTCCGAGGAGAGCAGACTGTGCAGCTCACACAACAAGTACAGCTGCACAATCCATCTCTGCAACGTATGGGAACCAAACCCAAAGCCAGCCAGCGGCAGCACCAGAATGCCAGCCACCCGGGCAGGGAGCACATTACTCGACTCCCCGGGAGCTGGCTGGGCCTGTCTACTTGCAGGCAGAACTCCGGCTGCAGGGAGGTTTACGTTCCTTGCTCCCATTTTCACCTGGCCGCTAGTTACATCATTTTAAATGTCAAAGTAAGTTTGCTTGATGCTCCTTCACGCTCAGGATATTGTCTGCAGGGATGGGGTAGCTGGCTGCTGTGCCTTGGTGCCCTTTGATGGGCACTCACCCAGGTAACCTGGGATATTTCCCCCCCACACTCATCAGTTCAGGCCCTAGCAACATGTTACCAGCTTCCTTGTGAGCACAGCAAGAGAGCTACTCCAAGCTCAAGGGTGAACGCCCAGGAAGCTGCTCCCGGTCCCTCCTAAGACTCACCAACGCTTCTTTCTGTGGTAGTGAAGAGCGGGTGCTTTTCACAGTCAGGTTCTTTCAGCGTCAGCCCACGCTGACCCCCAGCTCCTGCGGCCTCACAACAAACAAGGGAATTTTATTTTAAGCCACAGTCCTTTGCTCCTGTTGCGAAGGGGGCCTGGCCTGAGTAGGCCTTTGGCATTTCCCACACCACAGGGAGCAGAGTCCTGGAGGGGGCCTCATGGGCAGCAGGAAACTCAGACTCTCTCCAGAAGCCGTTTCTCACATTCCTCAGTGGCTCCTAAGATTTGTGATGAGATCCAGTGTGCTCGCATAGGAGCCAGCTGCTCAGGGCTGGGCGCACCACTGTTCGGTGGCTGGAGCAAGAGCATCATCTAGTGGCCGTTGGCTCCAGACGGGGAACCCCTCCGTGTGCTCCTGAGAGGATGGCTTCTGTACAGAACAGACTCCTGCTCAGATCAAGCAGCCTTAACTACCTCAGATCCTCAGCATCCACTGTCTACGTCCCCCCTTCACCCAGTCCAGGGGGTTACATGGACTGCAAATACCTGACACCACACTGAAGTGGAGTGTGCGGCAGGTTCCTTTCACCAAGGGGGGAGCCCGGCTCTAGGGCACTAAGGTCTCAAGAGACAGCATTAAGGGGGAGATTTCAATCCTCCCTCAGAGCTCAAGCTCATGGGAGAGGGAGCTTGGAAAGCATTGGTTGCCGTTGGAGAATGTGGTGGAGGTAGGAGGGAGCATGCATGCAGACTAATGCAGAGGAGCAGGTCTCTAGCCCCAGGATGGGGCTGCTCGCTAGAAATGCGAGACAAGGGAGGACAGGAAAGGAAAAGGTCAGCATCCTGAGACCACAGGAGCTTGGAACTCGGAGCAGGAAGTGGAACGACAGAACCATGGCGTGGCAGCTTCTGCCAGCCAGGGGCACTGCTGCTGAGCTTTGCAACTGGCCCGCATCTTTCCTCCCTTGGTCTCCAGCCTAGTGGAAGGGGCCCGGTGAGAGCCCTGGAGCAGGCTCTCTAGCCCTAAAACAGCAGGCAGCCACGGTGAAGCAGGGCCTAGTCAATCCAGCCCTCACCACTGAGACTGACAACCCTGGCGTGGGAGACACGCACTACACAGAGCTGCAGCCATGGCCCAAGGAAGATGCTCCAGGCATCAGCTGCCTAGAGTTGGAGGCTCCCTTATCCCAGTCCCTGGTCCCCAGTGGCCCATTTTATTCCAAATGATTCTAGCAACTCCCAATCGCCCCACGCAGAAGTGAGTAATGGCAGTGTAAAGACATGGGGCCTTGGTACTAGGCTGCTGGATGCTAATGGAACCTCCCGGCTCCACACAGCAGCAGACTGTCTGGAGAAATGGTGAAGGAAAAGGAGATGATATAGTACAAGGGTGGAGCGAGTGGAGGTGAGAGAGGCAGGGCCAGACTGGGACAGAGGCGAGGCCTAGCCACTGACAGAGCATGTCTGACAACGCAGCATCACACAAGGGTCCCACTTAAGAATTCAAAGTACCTGTATTTTAATTTCTTGACATGGTAAAAGTTTTACATACGTTCATCTGGCAAGGAAAGTTGAACAGTCCAACAAATAAAAAGGAATCAGTACAAAGAAACACACAGTGAAGGTGCTGCTCCCAGGCAGCAGCTAAGACGCAGTTGGTTTGTTACTGAATATTTATTAACGGGAAGACGAAGATTGGACTTACTACAAACAACAACGAAGGAGTCTATTGAAAGGGCAGGGGGCCCTCCACGCTCAGAGCAACCCCTGGGAAACCAGCAAGAGACAACGTGGCTCTTCAGCATAGAAGAAGAAACAAAAGCAACAGAACGCAAGAGGGAAGGAGAGGACGTTCATTCCATTTCTCACAACTAACAACTCTAAGGCTACTGCACAAGAAGTTACAGGTGTGACAGTGAGACCCATGGAAGCTACAGGGGTCCAGGACCAACTGACCCAGCTTTCCCCTGAAGGAGGGTGTGAAGTAAAAATACCATAAATAAGAAAATGTAGAAGGAACCTGCAGCGTCATGAGCCCGTTTCCCACACATACAAAAACTGACCATGCAACCGACCGTTTCCCATGGGGTTTGCAATGGACCATGAAACGTTCCAATGGCCTGGGAGGAGCTCCTGGGCACAGGAGAAGGAATCGAGGTACCTTTCACGGGGTGCTGAGGTTTTGATACTGATCTGCTGTGGCTGCTTTTGGCCGCCCTCATTCCAAAAGATCAGCCGTCGCAGCCAGCCTGCCAAACCCTGCCCCCCAATACACTCGGCAGGGGACTGTGCGTCACAACCTGCTAATTCCTTAGCATCAGTGGAGACTAGGAGGACTTCAAAATTTGAGCTCAGGCCTCTCCCTAACTTCATTCTGGACAGAAATGCCTCACGCCGAAGGAGATGTGTGAGAGATTAACATTGGTTTTAACAAAGAAAACTGCTTTGGTAGAGCCAAGAGGAAAGCTACACACAGGAGCGAAAGCTACCCGGGCTCTGAACTGCCAGCCCAGTGGGACGTGGCTGGTGGCAACCGGCTCTAGTGACAGGTGCTCCACATAGCCCTCTGCACTGATCTAGCTGCATTTCACAAGGGAGAGGGACAAACTGGGTGGGATCTAACGTAAGATAGCTCTTTCCTGGCTTGTTTGAACCTAGAAATCTCTGCATGGCACTTTGCTGAGCGTGGCTGCAGCCTGGGCTAGGGGAGCCGCCTGCTCCAAAGGGGCACTTCCTCCCAGCCTTGCCGTTAACAAGCATAAGACAACTAGCCGCAGAGCGGTCACTCAGATGGCACTGAGAAGCAGCTGGCTTCTCGCAGGCAGCACACACTCTGTGGACTCAGTCTAGTGCTGAAGACACTGCATCTCCTCCATTCCCAGGGACCCCAAGGAAACCCTGCAGCTGACAGATGGGGGTGAGGGGGAGAACCCCAGGGCTCGGTCTCTCATCCAGTTCCCACCTAGGTAGGAAGAAGGGAATGCTCCTTCAAGCCTGTCCCATGGCAGTGGCCTGCTCAATACCAATTACTACATTAGGGAGAGTTCCTGAGACCTGAACAAAACCAATCACAGAACTAGGCGAGGGTTTCTTTAGAGTTTAACTAGGAGTGCAATACTATTTCCAGCCAGTTTCCCATCTCGATAGTCACGTAACAAACCAAGGCAATGACGGTCTTTGAGTTGACTGAACAGTTCTCAAGTTCAAACGTTGACACTTAGTAGAGAGTCTCAGCGTTGCTGCTCCGAGGCCTCTTGATCTTCTCAATGTTTTTAAGGATCATATCATGCAAAGTGACCTGGAAGGAAGAGGAGAAAGACCATGGATGCACGTCAAGAGTGGGACGTCCACGATTTGACTTAACTTCACTCTCACCATAAGCACTGGCCTAACCTGAGTAATGGCTGCTCTTAGTTACAGCCCCTTAGCCTACAGCCCCTTGGCCCTTCCCCACCTCACCAGCCCCTGCCCTCAAGCAGCGCGTCATCTCTCATGTCAGGCAGTAAGCACCTTAGGCAAGGCCTTGCCTGTCTGCACTCTGAAGAGACCAGCATGTTTTGGCCACTGCAAGCCCCACCGATGACAGCGAGTTAGTTAACAGAGCCCAGGATTGGCCTACGCCATCTGGAGAGGTTGGGACGGAAGGTTCCGGCAAAGAGCGCCATGAACTGCATGCCCCAGGACGTGCCAGCACTCAGCACAGAGGCGGGAAATACCAGACTCTCCAGGGCAGCGAGTCGCCGCTCTCTCTGCTTGCTAAGAGCAAAGGGAAAGCAGAGGCCCAGGCCTGCTTCCTCTCAGGGCTCTGAGGTGGGATGGATCCCAAGGGTACTTCTCCATAGGGGAACGCATGAGCTGGGGTCCCGACTCTCACTCACATATTGATTCCTCAGCTCTGAGATGATTAAGCGCAGACTAATGTAT